ATGCATTATTATTATTATTATTATTACAAGGAAGCTTCACACCTTTGCAGAATTAGTGACACCCATGAAATGTCAAAAAATAGCAGGACATTTGGACAGCCCTACTCTATATAAAAAACTAGTGTGTGTCTAACAGCACAAGTCCAAGTCCTAATGTCTCTCTTTGTCATCCTGTCGCAGCCTGCCTTCATGGTTAGCTGCAGCACGATGTCTGGCTTCCTGGTTTTAAAAAGCAGACTGATTCTGCTGACTGCAGGGTATGCACGCTCAGTCAGACACACATGTGTATTAGAGTACTTTTCATGGTGAGAAAAGCCGCTTTAAGCAGTTTTAACAGCAGGAGGTGAGCTGTCAGGGATTTCAAACGTTGCACGTGTCAGGAAAAGGGAGAGAATCTGTGTGAGTATAACAAGGGGGAGAGCCTGACCAGCCTACAGGAGATGAATATCTACATGCTGCTTTCACATCAAACAAGGATCTCTCCACCTGAAATATCTCCCCCCCTGCACCTGTCGCTGTGTAAATGTTTCTATCTCTGAGTTCTGACATCAGCACCAAAAAATACCCAGCTAGGTCAAAAAAGGATACGTGAGGATTTTTTCCAAAGCAAAATGTGCTGACTTAATGATGACAGTTTAGAAAGCTCTGCCATGCTTCCCTTACATGCTTTAAATAAGTGAATCCGACTGCTGGTCCTCCCATGATTGAGGATGTGTCGTGTCGTTTCCTTATTAGTGATTCAAACCATTTCTGTTTTGTAACCAAATAAATATCCAGTGTGCCTGGAGGCAAACAGATCCTTAATTCTATGTTTTCAAACGTCAGAAAGAAAGTGCACGGCTGAAATAAACTTGAAGGCTTGTCATATTTCATTTCCAAATACAACCACAGTTCCCTTTTTGCCCGGCACACTTTGGTAACATTAAGCATCTCGTCAGCTGGATCTGAAAATGAAAATGTTTCTGACGGAGAAGGCAACCGGAACTCAAAAACAGTTTTTTCGAAGAATAAACAGACTAAATGTCGTCCAAAAAAAAGTGACAACTTCCATTCTTGTTTATTTTTAGATGATGAAAAACTTTTAAAAGTTGTAACTCCAGATGTGCTCGATTAGCCAACTAACTTTTGTGTAATTGTTTTCGTCTTGTTTAGGGCGTATATATCATATTTAGGTTAATATTGAATTTACTGTAGGCGTTGCTTTGTGTTGGGAGACCGTTATGGGACTTGATGTTACCGATATCGATATTAGGGATGGAAAAAATCTGATATATCCGCCGACATCTTTCTTTGATCCATGTTCGATCTTTAGAGATAAATAGAAATAGATATTCACATGAATTGAGTTGATCCCTCAAATGCAGTTATCAAACACTTGTGGAAAAATGTATAATGAAGACAAGATGGTCACTCAACTGGAGAGTAACTCAAATGTACGTGCATCACTGCTTGACACTCTGGAGAGTCATGATGCTTGTTGTAGTCAATATAGCGCCCTCTGCTGGTGACAGAGAACTGCTAGTTTAATACAATGAAGTGGCCATGAGCAGCTGTACACATATCACAGGAGAACTACAAGATCACAGGAGAACTACAAGATCACGTGGGGTAGGAGAAAAACGTGCAAACAGCATGTTGTTTTGTCTTTCTGAGGATGATTTGTTGTTCATTCGGTGCCTATTTTGACTTGATGTTGGTTACCTTTGCAAGTCCTTATATTGTGTTTTATTTTGAAATTGACTGGACACTCTGTGCGTTTCCTTGTCTGACTTCCTGTCTAAGCCAAAATATTCTGTTCAGCTTGACACGTGCTTGCAGCGAGCTCTGTCAAAAATAGACTTGCAGTGTATTTGAAACGGAGCAGAGCGAAGTGGCGCTGCATGCACGCTCCAGAGACGGACCGAGGCGTGTGATGTGGAAACAGGAGCATTGACTACAGTGGCAGCGAATGGCAACATAGTGCGCAGCGCTGACCAACAGCATGTGGAAATATTCAGTTCCAGCTCACCTCAGCTCCACCATTTTGCCTGTAACTTGGTTAAAAGATCAGAAGTAAGGTTGAAATAGCGTTTTCAATATGGCCATCGCCATCATTGGGCTTCACAACGCTTCTTCAGAACCCAATGGGTGACGTCATTGAGACTACGTCCATGTTTTATACAGTCTATGTACAGGACTAAGCTAACAAGTTCAGTCATATGGAGAAGAAGTGATTCCACACTTGAGTTCCTCCCTGCGACACTTGAAGCCTGAAAATCACTCCGTCCTCTCTTTCTGTGTTTTGGCCCCGGGGAAACATTTTTATAGTGCGCTTTTCTGCTGACCGGTGGCTACTGAACTTTTGTAATGAAGAGATTAAAAAAGAGACAATATTAAATCCCAACAAGACGGGAACAAAAGTTCACAGCTAACTGTATTTAACAGTTCACCTGCTCTGAACTCTCGTGCCATCCTAATCTTGATGCCTCTGTCCCTACAGTCCCCTTTTCTGTGTAATACACCTCCCTGAGACGCTTCGGTGCTCCTGCTCACTTTAAGAACAGACGATGCTCTCATCTGATTGGTCCTCTTTAAGCTCTACTTATAACTTGCTTTCTAGTCCTTTTAAGATTCATGAAAGCATTTTTTTGTTATGACCTTGTGAAGCACATCATGAATCGGATACTAGATTAATTTTCATTCTCTGGTTGGACCTTTTGCCCCAATTTGTATTTTATTTTTTTGCCAGAGCCGATCAAGCAAACTTTCAATAATACATATGCATGTGATTTGTTAAAGGTCACATATTATGTTAAATCCTCTTCCCCATGTTCCTCTAACTCTAATATGTGTCTCTAGTCTGTCTACAAACCCCCCAATGATGAGAAAAGTCCATCCTCTCCGTCTTTTGCCTGCTCCACTTTTCAGAAAATGTGTGCTCAAACAGGCCGTTTGGAGATTTTCCCTTCATGACATCACAAAGGGCAGTAACCCTTGTTTGTTCTGCCCTCTGAGTCTGCCTTCTCACCGTAAACAATAGGACATGGAGCGAGAAAGCCAGAGACACCGAGCCCTTCCAGAGAGTGGGCGTGGTCAGACACAGCTCATTTACATTTAAAGGTACAGACACAGAAACAGCCTGTTCTGAGCATTTCGGGCTGAAATAGAGGGGTTTATAGGCGTGATCAAATATAGGATCAGAGTGGATTTAGAACAAGAAACTTCACAGACATGTTTTGAGGAGCTCTGAGACTTATTTACACTCGTTGAAGAGGAGGAGGATATGTGACCTTTAACCAACACATAAGCTTGTTTTTGGTTTAGAGAGAACTCCCATGATTTCCCGCCAGCCACAACGTCATCTTTTTGTTAATGCATTGATTGAGAGCCCGCCTGGAAGTGGAATTTACTATACTGTGGGTTTAATGGGACCTAATAGGGACCTCGACTTTTACAGCCAACCTCCAGTGGACACTCGAGGAACTGCATTTCTCTTTGCATTTCAGCGCTGACTTCATTTGTCACCATCTGAGGTTGCCGCTTGTAAAAAAGACTCTAATTCAAGTTATGAAACATTGTTTGTTGTTGAGGCCTAATAGAATATGTCATTTTGCAGTATGTGTGTCATATGTCCTCCAAGTGGTGTCCTCTGTTGGAAAGCGGGGCGCTCGCTAACACAATAAGAGCTTGAAAAAAATGATTTAGTTGGGAAAAGAGCGCGGCTGTCAGCCTCAGTGAGATACAATAATGGAAACAGATCGCATTTATAGTTTGATAAACAGAAGGACGTAAAATGCATTCAGGAATTCAAGCACAAACAAGACAATATAACTGACCATCCTGGAGAAATAATCTGGTTTGAGAAAAGTTTACTGGTACACTGAAGCGTGTGTGTGTGTGTGTGTGTGTGTGTGTGTGTGTGTGTGTCGGTAAAAGCAAACAATATCTTTACTTGTCTTAATATCACAGCCATAAAACAGAAGCAAAAGCATGTTGGGGAAAATTGTTGTTTTTAATTAACAGAAATTACAGGAACACTTATGCACTGTCGCCAATGTCCTGATGTGAGTGCTCAATCTTAATCCTGGTTTTAAATATGTATCAACCATCTGTTGTTTTTTAAATTTAAGTACTTTTCAATGTTCTCACAATCATTAAAAACAGAGATTTAACTGATTTAAAACTTGGTCTATTAAACGTTAAATGCTGTACTTGTGATTAATAGCTGAAATTTAATAGCTACTTTACTTTTACTTTCTGTTTGGATAAAAGTCTGCTTTTATTTAGAAATACAGTAATGCCCTTCTTTATTTTGAATGTCTATACTAACTTAACCTCAGGGTACTTTACTCCCCGTTTGAATTCAACCATGCTTTTATTTTGAAATGTTGATCTGTCTTAAAATGAGAGTACTTTGCTTGCTGTGTGCTTTTATTTTGAAATAAAGTAAGGCCCTTCTGGTAGATGGAAGGTTAGGACATGAAGTTAAGCACAGAAACAGGAAGTGGCACGGGACCTCGTGGCGCAACGGTAACGCGTCTGACTCCAGAAACAGGAAGTGGTTTGGGATCCCAAACTGAGGTCAAACAGCTCAAAGGAACGGTAACAAAGGTCAATGTGTGATGTCATAAGGTCAATGTGTGATGTCATAAGGTGGATATTACTTTGGACTCGTCAGCTGAGCTGTCTGAGAGTTTGTTAAAGTGAAATGAGACATTCAAAGATGCAGCAGTGTCCTTCTTTTACATCACTGAGACTACAGGGAGACACTGAGGACGACTATCTACGGTGAGCCTTGAGGGACAAAATAGAACGGATTAAAATAAATGGGGGGGCTGTGACACTGAAGGCCCTGTCTCATAGGTGCAGAGTCCTGTGTGTGGTATGGAGAGCAGGCCAGAGTCTGAGGACCGGAGGTTTCTAGACGTGGTGTGAGAGGTACTGAGGAGGGTATTTTGACTATAATTCAGGATCTAATTGGGAGCCAGTGGAGGTGTATATGTGTGTTTTTTTGGTCTTACCCACGGTGAGCTGACCGGTCAGCTGTCCCTCGTCATTTCGAGCATTTACTGTCACATTTCTGTCTGATTGGAGGATCAGTGGACTGTCCTGAAGAAAGAGAAAGAGAGGGAGAGATGATTAAAACAACATCATGTTAAAATATATATTTAAGACCTTCAGTCTCCATCCTTACACACGCCACCCCTCTGGGCAGCAGTCAATACTGCATTAACCTGCATAACCAACACTGCCGAAGCTTGTATCAACTCTCACACTGCATACTTGAATCCCTCTCCTCTGCCTGTCTGACACACTCTGCATTTCATTTGCATAATCTATTCAAAACAGCATCCTGTCTGCGAGTGTGTTTGCTTGTTTCCAATCTTGTGTGTCTCTCTCTGTGTGTGTGTGTGTGTGTGTGTGTGTGTGTGTGTGTTCACAAAAAAGGCAATTATTCTCAAACTAACGAGCTAAATGCAACTGTGACCCTGACCCCTGCTCTCCACTTTAGAGTCTGATCAAGCCACGCTCTGCACACATTAGTTTACATTCAGCGGATGTGTTGCAATGAATGCAAAGCCAATATCTGCCATTTAAACTCAATCTAACAACTTACTTTCTCCCTTTACCCGCCGTCTTTCTCTCCCTCTCTGTCCGGTGGAGTGCATCAGTCTGCAAATCATCCTACTCACATTCTCACCCACACTTCCCCCATCACTCTCCATTACATCTCTGCACGTACATTATCTTACATTTAGTCTATTCGCCTTCCCTTTTTTGCCCTCTCTTTTTTTTTTAAAAATGGCTTATTTGTTTTGATGGCGTGAAATGAATAGCTCACAGGTGACCCAATTTTTCCGTTGATTTCCCCAAATTAATATCGTGATGCATTCTGCTCTGAATTCCAAATGAGAATTGTGTTAAAATTGGAAAGTCGTTGATCCGTTGAAATGGAAAAAAATCTTCCCTCCTTCCTTTCCTCATCACTCCCAATCCACCTCTCTCACCCTCTCTCTCTCTCTCTCTCTCTCTCTCTCTCTCTCTCTCACTTTGTTATTCTGTTCATTATGGGTGGATATTCATTGTTTTCAGGTGTCTGCTTGTGCATGTGGAGACCGAATCTCTAATATGTCACACCTGTCTGTGCTCCATTTCAGAGCGTCCAAACACTCCTGGGACGGGCCGATGACAAACACTAACACGGACCGCTGCACGAGCGTGAAGGACGATTACAAGTTGTTGTTTTTTGGTAGCAGAAAAAACACAAATTGGACTTGTATACAAAGGACATACATGTAGAGAGATTAAATAACAACTCAACAAGTTAGCATATCCAAGATGTACACACACTTCCATCCAATAAGTGCTGCATGTGTACAAGTACAATCAGCCTCTTTGCATGCACACACACACACACACACACACACACACACACATGCACACACCAGCCACTAACGCAGAGTCAGGTAACAAATTTGCAGACAACAAATGAGCACTCCATATCGTGCATCGCCTCCCTCGTCTGGTTCCCGACGCATGTGCACTGGATTAATTATTTCAAACGGGCCGTGTGATAGGCTTCACTATATTATCTTTCCACTCTGTTTAAAGCCACGGGCGCTTTGTAAAGCATGACAGATGTAATGTGCTTCGAATCATTCCAGCTCGACGGGTAGCGTGCATGAACGGGCCTGATCGCGTTCGTTTAGTGCAGGATTCAGTCACTCAGAAGTTGCCAGCGCACACGTGAAATCTCATTTGATTAAGCACTCGTATGCAAATGCAAGGAAATGCCGACTGTAAATAATTGCCGCATATTAAACAGTTGCTAATTTCTATTTACACAACAGTTGATTGAAGCCAAACAATCTGCTTGGTGGAGCTTATGTGACACGTATAGCAGCACGTATAACAATAACGGCAAGGCTCACTTGATGAGGAAATAGTCGATTCTACCTTTAGGCAATCAACGGCAATCACAGCAGAAACAAAAGGTCCTTACTAGCTTGGTAACCAATTACAAATCTATCAAATCTAAACCTATACGCTTGTATTCGGAGCATAGAAACAAGCTCTAAAAGTGTTTTTTATTCATTAAATCCTTCTTTAAGCAGGAGTACTCCCACTGATATACAAAAACCTCTTCCTGGTCAAACAGCAGCACAAAATGTTCCACACAAAGAACAAACAGCAGACCAACAACAAGCAAATCAAGCAATAAAACCAGAAGAGTTCAGCAGTAAAACATTTGCACACACTCGTCAGACGATCCTTAATCCTGGGTTTAAAATCTTGTACGGCCTGGCGCACACTAAAAGATATTTAAAATCTTAAACGATTTTGAAATTGTGAGAGAGCCCACACATGAGCCCACGAAAAATCATGACAGATTAACAGTTCAGTTCTCATAGTGTGTGGAGAGCAAGGAGACGACCAACTCAGAACAACACAGAATAACAGATTAATTCATAAACAACCAGAGTCTCAACTATCAGAACGTGTAATCCTGCGTGGTCAAATGCAACTTTAGAGTAAACAAATATGATGGGCAAGCTAAATGTGGCTAACTGTTAGCTTGCAAACATTTTGGTTTCCTTTCCTTGTCAGTTGGATTGTGGTTTGTTTTACAGGACACGTATTAAACACTTGGGTTGTTGCCACACATCAACTAGTTGCTCCTCCATTTCTGAAATCCATTTAACTTTTTGCTTTGTGTTTGCTGTTGTCGCCATGGTTACATTTGTTGTTCTTCCTGCTTCAGTCAGCTTACTTCCTGATTGGCTAATGTTCTGTTCCACGTGGCAATTCACAGAGTCTGTGCTCGGCCGTCCTCGGTGTTCTCCAGACTCAACAGGATCGTCAATATTGAACACATTTAATATTTAGGGATGAAGGCGCATAGTGTGTCTGTAGGGAGCACTTAATTTGGTCTAAAAATCTGCTCTGAAAGTCGTACAGGAAGCTTTTAATGACGCTTTAAATAAGCTCCATCTATTTCCTGAGACCGATGTGTAGGAGAGGAATGAAGCCATTCAAAAGTAGATGTTGGCAAATTTGGACAGCAGAAAGAATGATGTCATCATTTAGCATGACTTGTCTTCGGAACCCCAACTGAAATTGACTTCCAGCATCCCTGATGACATGACAGAACGCGCCGCAACCGTCATGCATGCGACATGTTTGTCAGTGCATTTAGGCCCAAATTGTTACAAAAACATATATGACACATGCTCCGGACTTTGTGCACAAACATGCCGGTTGTTAAGTTGAGATCTGAGTAGCGAAGAGCTGCAGCTTCCTAGTACCATAAGGTTATTTTTCAAGTAGAACTACATTTTTAAAAACTTGAGCCTGTTCACATTTTATTCCATGCATGTATCCCCTCCATGTTTATTATGTTTAGCATCTAGCTCGACATTTGTCTGTGACATTAACACTTAATTTCTCTCCATGAAAGTCCGTCTTCAGTGTAGATTGTGTGATGTTTGATGATGGTTAGACGATGTCTCACTTTAATGTCAGTCTGATGTTGGACATGCTTTTTGTGGTTACTTTTAAATGGCTTTCGGCTCAGCAGGATGCTAACCGTTTCATTGCTTAGATGTTGATACATGTTGCGAGGCATTGCCATCTTTAATCATGTTTGATGTAAGAAATACAATCTGTATTTGAATTATTCGTACACTGGTGTATTTGTGTGCAGAGTTTGTGCTATTTTTGACACATTTTACTGATACATGATATTAAGGCATTGCAAATTTGTATGCCAGTTGCAGCTGCCCAACATGGATGATCACACGTTCTTACACTGACTGCCAACAAATCATGCTGTGGCCAATTTTCAGCAGCCTCTCAGTGATTACAGATGAGTCCACCTCAGATACGCCTCAACACCATCCAACAGCACTTTCACCCACAACAATTATGCATACATGCGCTGATTAAACACTACAAAATGAGAGCTCCCGAGCTCCTCGAATTATAAATATATATCAAGCCCCTTCTGAAATGTAACCCGCAGCTAGTTCTTTGGAAACTTTTGAGGCTTATTTGTTAAGATTTGAAATACTCTTAGACCATTTTAAAGTGCACAAGGTTAGACATGTAGGCTACATCGATTGTTGCAGAATCAGTGGTTAATACAATACACTGTGTGCATGTGATAAGTTGAGGATCTCCAGTAAATTAGGAATTACCCCCTATTCCCAAAAATCTACACAAAAAAGAAATGTAGTGCAACTGATTTCACATTTGCCATGCGTCATTACCCACAATCACATGACAACACCTCCTTCCAATTGACGGTATATTTAAGATGCAAGATCTCCGCTCTCTCCCTCTGCTCCTTCCTGTCACTCCTCAAAGTTCTGCATGTAAATGAAAACTGTGAGGTGTGATGAGGGCAGAGCCTAGACGCCAAACACAAACTGAAATACTGTAAGCAAGTGTGTCCCCATAGATGCTTCCTGGGCAGGCCGCCCATTGATTTGTAGATCTGTGGAATACCGGGTTGAGTCATGCTGTCCGTCTGTATACACAGTTTATGGATCTTAATAAAAGTGGCTTTACTTGGTTTCATGGCGAGCTGCAGCATTTCTTTAGTACACATATTTTGTTTACTTTAGACTCTCTTCATTCCTTATCTTCCTCTCCGGCTCACTTCATCGTCCCTCTGGCTTTTGTGTTTACTGTTTCGCTCATAAATCTCCCCTCGTCGTGTGAAATGTGCATGGCTGCATGAATAAATACACTAAAGGTGTATATACACATATATACACCTTTATGTATAACATATACATATACACATATACACGTCATGCACTCTCCTGTGAGCTGACACAACATTCAACACTGCGCCATTAATTCAGTTAATAGTTTAATTTCACTTTGATTATAAATACAGGCACAGGCATGCCAGCCTGAGGTAGCCAATGTAATTAGTCAGGTAATAATAAGCCGCGGACTCGTGGCTCATCATCGCAGCCTACAGCAACCAGTACAGATGGGGTCTAATAACAGCTTTCAGTGTGCCTGACACACAGCCTGTCTCACTGCTTCATCTGACCGTCTGTCTGACCGTCAGTCTCAACAGGTCTGCACTGAAGGTA